TCATCCTTCAGTTCAAATGTCGGAGGCCCACGAACTTTCCTCCAGGACCTGCTGCTCTTCCTCTGCTGGGGAACCTTTTAAACCTGAACCTGGCGAACCCACTGGAAGACTTTGAAAAGGTAAGACGAATTTGCATGGAAGAGTTCTATTTTAACACTATTCAGTTTTGTTTGTAATTGTTAACCTTGCTTGTTTTGTTTGTTTGTTTGTTTTTTACTGAATTTTTCAATATAAATGTAACAATTTTGGAGTTAAAATAATTATCTTTTAATCATGAATCTTTACTTTTAACTAAAGTCTTATTTCCTTCGTTTTCTCTCAGCTGAGGAAAACCTATGGAGACATCTACAGCTTATTCCTTGGCCCCAAACCAGCTGTAATGCTGTGTGGGACAAAAGTCATCAAGGAGGCTCTGGTCAACAAGGGGGCAGACTTTTCTGGACGACCCCAAGATCTGCTTTTCAATGATGTCACTGGAAGGAAAGGTAGATGTTTGGTAGTTTGTATCAGGTTTGACGGGGTGAGAGTGTAAATGTCAGTGACACCAATGATGCAGCTACGTCAATGCTGCAAATATTGAATGAAATGCAGAAAGTTGTTAAAAAATGGTTTTTCGGCCTTTTATCACAGCGCACCATCACTCGTACTTAAGGGTTTTAATTCACTTTTAATTGTAAAGTTTGTGCACATGTATGCATGTTTCTATTCTATTCACTCTACTCTGTACATTTTCTCCTGTAAATAATCAGATTATTGATGTAAATTTTTTTTTTAGCTTTTTTTTATTATTATTTTTTATTTAGGAGTGATTCTGGCAGACCACGGAAAAGTTTGGAGGGACCATCGACGCTTTGCACTTATGACCATGAGGAATTTTGGCCTGGGTAAGAATTCCATGGAAGAGAGAATCCACACTGAGCTGCAACACACCATTGAAGAACTGGAACAAAACAACGGTGAGTTAGGTTGAGAGCCAGTCTTACATACATACCACAAGAGGGAGCCCAAGAACCATTGGTTGTACCTCTACCATATCTTCAGAACCACGGTCCTTTTAATGCTTTTGTCAATGTAAATATTTTGTATTACGTACATGTTTTTTATCCTACAGGTAAAATCCTGAGTCCTCAGCACATGTTCCATAACATTTCCTCCAACATCATCTGTCAGGTTCTGTTTGGAAAACGCTACAACTATGGTGACAATTTCATCAAAGAGATTGTTCGGTGTTTTACAAAAATTGGAAAACTGGCTAATGGACCGTGGCAAACGGTGAGGGTTTATGTCATTGATCAGGTCATAGGAATAAACTGCACTATTTCCTAGAAAACTTTAACTGGAAGATATTATTGAAAGAAGATGAAATGGCTGGTCATTGGTGTGGAACCCCAGGGTTCACCTCCTGGGCAAGTTCAAATCCTGGTTAGGGTGGTTGGTACCTTCCAGTGGACTCACCACCCACAGGAAAGTTTGGGGGGTTGGTACGGTGCAGTGGGATTTGAGTGGAAACTGCTGCCCCCGCGACCTGGTAACGATAAGTGGATGAAAATGGATGGAAG